TCACATTGCAATAGTTGTAAAAGCTGTTCTTACAGACATGCGGACATAGAAGAAAACAGCTAATGATTTTATTTTTTTAACTTTTTTCCCATCTCTTTTATCTCTTTAAGCTGCTTAGGAATGCATTGTGAGCAGATACAGTTCAAACATGTTATAAGCATGCATCACTTAGGGCACCTTAATGGTGAATCTCTAGAGCAGCTTAACAATTTTCACTTCCTCATATCTATACTTTTTTCCCACAGCCCTTAAAATCCCTTCAAAAAGAAAACAGCCTTCCTTAGTATTTTTTAGTTCACAGGAATCTTTCTAATGCTTTAATCAAAGCAATGGGTTAAATCAGTATGGTAGGACTCGCATGAAAATAAGACAAGAAGCCATCTTGAAAATTCTTTCACCCTATTATGTCAATCTGTGTCCAATGTCACTTCAAATAAACAGACATTGGATTTTATTCACTTCTGCAGTGTCTTTCCATGCCTTTCTCCCTTTCTTTTCTACCAGTAGTGTTATCTTATATGTGTTTGCTTGAATGAGCTTAATAGCTTTACCTAGGAGCCAGAGAAGGCAAAGAAATTTAAACTTTTGAATGTTTTATTTGGAAGGCATTTATTCATAATGGCAGAGTCTTGAAGTGACACTTGCAGGCAGATTTCCATTTCTTCGTCAGGAAGATGGTTCTTCAGCTGATGTACACATTCTCTGATATGACTCTTAACATATTATGTAGCTATCAAGTGAGATTTAAGATGAGGGAAGTAATAGTTGGAGTCCGTGTCATTTGGATCCTCTTTTCAGCACTTTTGGAAGGGCAAAGCACTGACTATTTTTGACAGATGAACATGCTAAACAGAAGCACATCCTGGTAAGACAGAAACATGCAGTCTTGGAATACACTCCATTTCATTCAGAAATAATTAGGAAACCCAAAGTCAGCTATTAAAACTTGTCTCTTACAGTCAAAAATAGGAATGAGACATGAATGGGAAGGTCCAACATACTGGCTCCATGTCAGATCAGACATGCTCAAAAAGAGGAGCCTTTCAGTACAAGCATTCACACCAACTGAGCTGCAGCAACACACAGATAAACTTTGCAGTACTGGTTCCCTGTCAACACAGAGGACTGCTTGCTAGATTTTTGCTCTTAATCTCTCAGTTCTGGTTATTTCCTGGTAAGACATCATTTTGTCAGAAGGCTGCAGTAGTGGCTTTGTGTTTGAAACCCTGTTCAGTCTGATTCCTGACAAAAGTCTAGAATGCCAGAGACAGACTGGGGACCCTGTCTGGACTGTCTCAGTGAAACTGCACAGGCATTATGACACAAATATGTATTCTGGAGGTGAGAACTCTCAGACACCACCAAGGTGTTCTTGCCTATTTTCTAAAATTAAGTAAAATGAATTTTCACATGTATCTCGACAGCTACACATTCAAACTCTGTGGATAGGCTTACTATGGGTGAACTTTCCAGCTATCCCATAGCTTGATCCTTCAGCACCAAGGCTAGGTACTTCAGCCATACTGGAAAATCAGTTCTTCCAACAGCGTAATAGTGTAAGGACCATGGACAGTGAGTGCTTGCTGCAAGGTTGGAAATCATGGCTCTAGCGCTGAAAAAAAAGGACTTAACTGTTGTGGTTGCAACACCCCTGCTTAATCAAAGCACTGATAGGACAAGCTCAACTTGAAAAATATCTTATCTATATCCACTGGTAGTGAGGTACTCAAACCCCTTACACAGTACTCCACTGTTTGAAAATCCATCATATATTTTATGTTCATAGGCTTAATGCTAGGAGAAAATGAAAACTGATAATCATACTTGGAGCTGAGTCCCTGATTGAAAGCTCCCCTAAAGACCACTGGAATTTTCTATGAAAGCACTTTGTCCTAAAGATTGTTCCCTGGGCTTTTGTTGTTTTTAAGTTGGATTCTCATGCTCTCTTTTCTTCTTGTCCTCCACTGAGTCCTATCTCTTAGCAGTTTCTTCTGTAGCAAGAGACGCTAATTTCAAATAGGTAAACTGAAGCACTTTTTTGTTTATTTGTTTTTTTACAAATATCAATATCTTTTACAAAATATTTACAATATTTTTACAAAAAGCAATATCTGTTTTGGAGGGTGAGTTAATTATTCTATGGCAACCATTGCCCAACAGAGGTAGAATGCAATGTTTTTGGCTGAAGCAGGAAGCTGGTAAACTTCATTGTTCAAACAGAATGAGCGTATGAGTTGTGAGTTAGGTATCTGAAACCTTTATACAAACTGTAGCATGTTGTTGTTCTTTTTATGACGAAGAATTACAAGTAAATTGATCAAACTGTTGATACAGAACTAGGAAGGAGTGAACTGGGCAAAGATGACTAAAGTTGCTTTAAAAAGGTCTGCGGTTTAAAATAGCACCAGAATTGCTGGTTAAGGGAGACTTTTCAGTTACATTAGGCAGAACACCACTTTTACCATTCAGACCTCCTCGCTGGAAGTGACCGCATACAGACAAATCAGGAGGCCTTGCTCATCTGTGGGTCACCAGACATGGATAAAACAAAAACATTTGTATGTATGAACTTTGCTTAATTTTTAAAATGGTGCAAAAATATTATTTAGGCCAGTGGGAGAGTATTTTAATATTGAATGTTTCCTAAGAAAAGGAAGATCCAGATGTGTTTCTACATCAGCACGAATTCTTGGATGCTTTAAGTGAAGACTGTTGAACCTGATCAATGTAATTATAAGCCTTTCTCAGAATAAATGTTTTGTATCCAAAACTTCTTTTATTTCATGCTTTTTGAATATTTGGATTTGTTCTGAAACAGTAGTTGGACTAGTTGAGCATTCTGGCTTCACCATTGTATTTGAAGCAAATCATTCGTATTTGTTATATACCTTAACAATTTTCTCTCATAGCTAATTTGCTTTGTTCATTTTATTGCCATAGGCCCTGTTCCTTCAGTAATTATTTTCTGATAGAAAATTTCAACTGGGATATTTCATTTCCAAGGGCAAGGAATGGCCTATGTTTGTTTATAAACACGACAAATCCTCTTAGGGTAATTTCAAAAAGTCTTAATTTCCTCTGTCCCAGCAATTTCCTCTGTTCCAGGCTCCAAGTGATGGTTTCTGGTTCTGGATGGGTTTTTTTTTTGGTGAAAGCTTCATTAGTTGTAGTTTTGCTTTTCTAGAAGATGTCTTTTATAGCTTGTCATAAAGAAATACAAATTCTTAGTTATGAGTGATTTTTACTTGAAATAGAAGTATACCTATGTGCATTAATCTTGAAACATATTGTATGTTTCTTTCCAGTCAAATGGTGCAGTTGTATTTAAACAGAATTGATAATAGTTTCAGGCATCCAAGATATTTGGTTAATAAATTCTAACAAGTTAGGTGCTTGCTGGTTAGCAGAGGATCCCAGGAGAGGGATATACTTGTCATCAAGTCATCACTTTATTTAATCCTGAAAAAAGAATTGAACATTGACTTAATCAAAACCTGTTTGGGTGGTTTGAATATTTTGTGAAGAAAGTTGTGGCTCTGGAATTTGGATACATAATTTTCAGTTGTTTGAGCTGTTGTTCTGGAATTTATCAAAATGCTGTTGGTGTGTAAGCAAATGTCATGGTTTAACTTACCTGAGTGCAAATATGACACAGCTGCTTACTCACCCTTCCCCCTCCCAGGGAATGGGGTAGGAATTAAAGGGATAAAGGGAAAAGAGACTCGTGGGTTGAGCGAAGAACAATTTAATAACTAAGCTACAATATATTGGAAATAGTAATAATTATGATGATGATAATAATAATAGTAATATACAAATACACAAGTGGGTGATACACAGTGATACTGCTCACCACCCAATGACCAAGGCCCAGCCCATTCTTGGCTGAAAAGAAGAGCCCAAGAGTCACAGAGACTGAGTGCCAATCAAGAGAGAGAGCGAGCTTCTGGACAGAGCCTCATCTATATACTGGGCATGACGTGCATGGTATAGAGTATACCATTAGCCAATTTGGGTCTCAATCCTAAACCTAAGATCAAATCCTAGGCTAATAACTGGGGCTGTGCTCTCTCCCAGTTTCTCCTGCACCTGCAGTCACTGGCACAGCAGAGAAGCTGAAAAGTCCTTGACTGTCCTGGCAGTGACTGTAAACATCAGTATGTTACCAGCCTTCTTCTCAGCACAAATCCAAAACACAGCCTTCCACTAGATACTGTGAAGAAAGTTAACTTAGTCTCAGCTGAAACCAGGACAGCAAGCTATAGTGATCACTGAGTTGCTAACAAGTAGCTTGAGAAAATACTGTTCCCTGCATTAACAGATGATATTGTGACTAAGGGATGTTACTATTTGCAGGAAGAGGAGGGACATGACCCAGAGCAAGTTAATAAATGAAAATGTAATGGATCAGTCTGTTTTACTAGTGTGTCTTTCTACAATATGATGTATGGAATCTGCTTTCAAAAATGAAAGTTTGTTTTCTTACAGCCTGAACGTCTTGTGTGATGACAGATTTCAAAGAAATATATTTTTGCATCATGACTGTCTGTTGTTGTCTTTATAAGTTAACAAATTGATAGAACTATAGAATTTTTACCTCATTGTTCTGTAAAAGTAGAATAAGCCTGCACTAGCCTGGCAAATCCAGATAATGTCAGCATAAATATTATTTTTCTGAAATTTCCACTTATTTTTCTTTTTTTTTGTCTTGTTCCCAAGAACATCTGTGCAGAGGTGATGATTTTTTAATGAAAGTGTAAGGTAAAAAGGGACATTTATTTGTAAATTAAAGTTTATAAAGAATATAGTGTATTTTCGTAACAGAGACTTAGCTTATTCAATTCTTGAGGCTGAAATAGTTCCCTCTGAATACTACTTTTGACAATGGCTGTATGAATACCTTTGTTACATTATACTTTGCTGAAGCTTTCTAAAACTACATGATCTGTTATAATTGTTTTTCCCTCCTTCCCCTCTTATCTTTTCTCTTTTCTGTACAGGTGATTTCTATTCACTCCTTTCCAAGCTACTAGGAGAAAGGGAAGATGTTATGCATGTGCATAAGCATAACCCTACAGAAAAGGCAGAATCAGATCTCGTAGCTGAGATTACTAATGTAGTTCAAAAGAAGGATCTTCCCAGAGAGATCACAAATCATGATGAGAGGGACAATACTATTCTTGTCAGAGACAGAATTCACAAATTTCACAGACTAGAGTCTACCTTGAGGCCGCCAGAGAACAGATATTTCTCTTTACAACAGCCTAAACATGGTGAGGGAAGCTGGGAAAACGAACATACAGGAGGTGGGTTAGGGGTTAATTTTATACAATGAAATGCAATGTCAGAGCTGTGATCCACATTAGCAAAATCTGAAGGGAATATCAATTGATGTTTGGAAGTATTTTACATTACAGTTTTCCTAATTATGGAAATGTTCTCCCTCTATTTTGGAGGTATTTCAGTGGAGTTCTTTCGCCCTTCATGTGTGAAGAAAAAATGTATACCAATGGCACAATACCAGTACTTTTTGAAACATAGAGTATTTTTTTCTTCTCTCTGGACTTCTACTTAATGATTTGATATCAGTTATGCTAAAACAAGATACATACAGGTTATAGTAGTCACAGGAAGCGAAGAATTGTTTTTAATACAAGTAACTACTATAAAAGGGTCACTGGGATAATCGATGCATTTTATGATTTTTCTGATTACCTTGGTTTGTTGGATACAAGATTTTATAAAATTTATTGATGTGGTTCTATCAGATGTTTTTTCTCTCACTCAGAAAGACTGGTAGTCAATCCTGAGAAATTATTGAGAAGTAAAATTTTATGCTTATTTATTTCAAATTGGGCTTGGCTATCCAAATATACTTGGATGAGCTGTTTTACCATACTAGGATTATAATTAATTCCCTTCAGGTTTCTATGTCAGCAGAAACCATGGAAGTATTGTGTTTGTTTTACTTGTATTTTGGTCTCTGTGATATTGATTGTCTTTAGTCTTACTTGCTAATGTGGAAAGCCAGATAATGCAGCATGTGATGAGTATCTCATAAAAGAAACTGATATGTATGCATGGAAGTCATCCGTATGCATAAGGTGTGGCAGCACATGCTTGCTTTTCTGTTGCAGCCAGCCAGCTTGATGTTGCCAAATACACAACTTGGCATGTGTGTTTTACACAAATACACATAATTCTTCATCCATTTGATTTTTATTTTGGTTAAAAATATTAATATGTATTGTCTCTGCTTATGTAAGATTCTCTTATAGTATTCAAATTCAGCAAAACTCCAGGTTTGTATTTAACAGAAGACCAAAGATGAGGACTTCCCAGTGTTATGTTATGCTAGTCAGTTAAATGAGAGCCTGTGAAGTTATTGTCATAGGGGCAAAAATCAGGTAGGATGTTACCATGGGCTTGATATAAGTGTAAATTGTAAATAATTCCATAAGCCACACTGGAATTAAATGTTTGGAAGAACAGTATGTGTAGCATTTCTGCAAAAACAGGTTGTTAGATCAGACAAGTAGCATGTGATGTGTGGAGGGGAAAAATAAATTTCCTTTCTGTTTTAGCTGATCCAGAGGAGGGAGTGTCAGTGAACTGAATAAATGTCTTAGTTGGCACACCATATGGCATGAATTCTAACTAGAGAAAGCATTTGCTTGCCTACTTTAGTAGCTATATATTAATTTTGGGGTTAATTTGTTGGTGGAAGACTAACTAATAAATCGACTTTCAAATGGTGCAATTGTGAGTTACAGCAAAAAGGAAAAATGAAATTATCTTCATTTGCATTTTTGGTTTTTTTAATGTTTGTGATACTTATAACTACAGAAATTCTGAACTACAAAAGCTGTCAGCGCCATCTTTTGGCAAAAGGACTTTTATAGCAATAAAATCTTTATGCCCATGTTTAGTTTCCATTTTTGGTAGTATTTGTGTAGTAGAAGAACAGACCTTTCCATAACAGAATTTTCCTCTTCAGAGGAAAAAGTGGAACATAACGTGTTTTAACTTGTCTTGATTTAATAAAAAAATCTGCATCCTTCATAAAATTCTTTACTATATTGAATTTAAAAAAAATCTCAGCATTTCTTAGGGAA